GGGGTTGCGCTTACGACACGGAATTTGGGAGAAATACCAGAGCCCTAATTATTACCATAACTGACTTGCATAAGGAGTTACTCATGATAGTTCTGGTATACTACATTTCAAAGGGATTACTTAGATTAGCAAGACCAGTGCATATGGTGTAGCAGTTAAGTTAATCACTTCGGCGAAGCATGCAGGTGACCTGAGTTTGATTCTCGAGTGGTGAGAGATTTTCATCGAGTATCTCGGCCTTTCTGCCGAGATTTTGTATCCCTCTGAGCCCGGGTCTGTCTGCTGGGATGTTGTATCCTTCTCAGCCCGGGTCTGTCTGCTGGGATGTTGTATCCCTCTCAGCCCGGGTCTGTCTGCTGAGATGTTGTATCCCTCTCAGCCCTGACAGACAGGGTCAGACGCTCACCTTCTACATCGAAATGATTGAAATTGTGTCAATGGAACCACCAAACACCTAACATATAATTTTTTTTTTAATTCGAAAGTCTAATTCGGCGGCAAATAATCTCTTCTCAGAATAATCAAAAATGGGGAAAAAGCAGATAAGGCGTTTCGCAAAAGAGAGTATACATGAGAGGGAAAGTTAAAGGAGCAAAACAAAACCCCGCCCAAAAACAAACAACAAGCAAAAACTCCAAAAGTTTGTCACTGCAGCAGATTGTAGAAACCGTAACGGTTTCAGGAAGATAGTAGTGAAATAACATTTGAGGAAAAAAAGAAAGTTTGTGAAGATACGTTATAAACGTATTGTACTCACCAAGCAATGCTCTCTAGTTTATCATTTCATTTCTAACAAATAATCCCAGCTCTTGCACACGAAATCTGTACACCGAATAAATGAATGCTCTGGTCACATCCGCTCGTTTTGAGCATGAAGATACTGAATTAACTCACAATTTAATTAAAACAAAAAAACACACATATTTTGGTCGATTTGGAAACTTCGATGCAATAATTGAAACGACACCTGTGCCCGATAGCGTGGTATTGATCTAGTCGTACAGATGGCGGGAAGTCACACAATCATTAGGAGCATGAGGTTTGAGCGGTGTGAAAGTGGAACTCTCTTGGCACGGGAGGACACCGACAACCCACCTTCACAGCCAAGTATTGTGCGTCGCCGCTCTCTCGTCAAATTCCTTGGAACGTGCCGCGCGCGAACGGGTGCTCACTCCTTGCGGCACGGGGTTGGCGGGTTTGTTTTGGGTTTTGTTGG